GCTTCAGACGAGAGTCGCGAACCCGAAGTCCGGTCAGAGGGCTATCGTAGTGGAGGAACAGGAGTCGCGGGCGGAGGCGACGCTCTCGGGGAACGGCGTCGAAACTGCGGCCGGAAGCGCGGCGGAAGGCGGCTGAAGGTCACGCGGCGGTCAGTGAAGGCCGCGAACTGAAATAAAATACGTTTTTATGAGCAAAACATCTGTTGTTTGTTTTCAATGCGTTTTTCTGTCGTCTTTTGCGTCATTTTTGTCGTCGTTTTCGGTATTTTTGTCCGCATTTTGAGCGAAAAACTGAGTCTTTGTTTCGTCGGACAGAAGGCGAGCGCGCGATCACCGAAAGGAACGGCCGTTTCGTCGAACGCCACGAAAACGGGTTTCCGGTCGACGACTGGCACCAAGAATTGGGCCGAAGAGGAGGTCGAGAGCTGGAACAGCCGTTTGTCGCGAATTTCGCGGACATTTCGGGCGAAGGAAAGGAAGACAACGCTGCGAACGAAGAGGCCGTGAATCCGGACGACGACTCTTCTCCCGGACTCCGATTGGCGGATCTCCAGAGCGCCAAAGCGGGCGCTCCGACGCGACAGCCGCTGAAGAGCGCGAAGACGACCAGAAAGCGTCCGACAGCGCGCAGGGAGTCGTCGTCGTCGTGGCGCGGCTTCAATGTGTTGACGTGGGGAAGGGATGCGTTGGCGTCGTTGGGCGAGTGGTTGGGTTTTCCCGGGTTTTCGCGTCATCACGAAGACGAGGATTCCGTGTTTTATTCGAACGCTTCGGTTATAGTAAGGGTTCCGAAGAAAACACGAAATTAATCACGAATTTAGACGTAATTTATGGCGAATTCGACAAAAATCTGTTTCTCAATAAAATGTCTTAAAATGAGTTTCAAATGTTTGCTAATTGTCTGCGCGTTCGTCGCAATCGGCGTCCAATTAATCGGTAATCGAATCGCGGTTTCGATGTTTCGATACATTTTTGTTTTCGTTTGAAGAGTCGAAAAAAGCGGCGAAAAAGGCGAAGGAGGCGGAAGAGGAGGCGTCGGCGGAGGTGTCGACGACGGAGGGGGCGTCGGGTGACGAGGAGACGACGACGGAGGCGACGGAGGCGACGGAGGAGGAGGCGGAGGGCTCGAAGAAGAAGAAGAAGAAGAAAACGACGACAGAGGAGACGACGGAAGAGACGACAGAAGAGGCGACGGAAGAGACGACGGAAGAAGAGTCTGAGGAGAAGCCGAAGAAGAAAAAGAAGAAGAAGCCGACGGAAGAGGAAACGGAAACGGAGGAAGAAGTGGATCCGAAGAAGAAGAAGAAGGCTTCGAAGAAGCCGAAGCTGAAGGCGCTGTTGGGGAAAGTGAAGGAGGGGGTGAAGAGGGGCGGTCTCGTGAAGCGAACGATAAGCAAGAAAAGGGCGCAAAAGAGCGAAGGGATGGACAAGAAGGCGGAAAAGGCGGCGGAATTGGCGTCCGCGGCGATGCTGAAGACCATGGGTTTGGGGGCTCTTCCGGGAGGCGAAGG